GCAACAGTTATTGGAAGACAAATATGTGTACGCCTGGTTTAAAATTTTGGAAAACTCTTCATTTGATGGAAAACACAGCACCGATATTTGCATACGGGAAGGAAGGAGGAAGGGAGAAGGAAGAAGGAGTTGACGGGAGGAAGGAGGGATAAGGAGCGAAAAAAAAAACAAAGAATGCACTTTTCTTCATCTGTTATCTGCTGTTTTTCCTGTCTCGTCTTTGGCCTATGTTGTAAGAAAAATCCTCTTTACATGAACCATTGGTTTATTGTGTCGGGGAAGAGACTTATTGCATTAAGAAGAATCCCCTAATCGTCCCCTGTTTTCAAATGCCCCAGTTGGGTACGATAATAGCATTACTTTTTTATTTCTGAATGACAAAAAAAAAAGAAACAAAGGAGATGTTTACGTTACATTTTCTTCGTATTTTTTGATTTTAACTTAGTCTGGAACAGAATATTGTTGCCCTGATTTTGATTATTATTATTATTATTATTATTATTATTATTATTATTTGCATTTTTGCTTACGTATAATTTGATAATATTTTCTTTTTACTTCATGCTATATTATATCTGAAAGAAATTTGAATGTATACGCTAAAATTCAACAAATGTAAATGTTGACAAGGAATAAAACAAAAAACCTTTCCTGAAAATCTCACATATCATTAACCGTAATGCTAATTCAGTGTTTGGTATTGATTTGTGAACAAATGTAGCTGTAGCAATTTTTTTGAGAATCGGTACTGGGATCTTACGCTTTAACATTCAGTGATTTATAATAAACATTAATTTTTTTTTTCTTGTATTGTTACGCTTCCTCGTTTGTTGGCTGTCTAAAAAGCTGAGGTTGAATAAATATGATTGCAGTTTTAGGACGATGTCGTCGGTGAAGGTAGCGGTTCGTGTGCGTCCGCTAAATAGCCGAGAAATCGGAATGCACGCCAAGACGATCATCGCAATGGCCGACAAAACAACCAGTAAATTTACCACGATAATAATACTTTCTTTTTTTTCTTATTTTATTTATTTATTTTATTTATTTACTTTTTTTCTTTGAGGAGTTTATTTTGTCAATTTTTTATTGCTAAATTATGAGTTCTGATGAAAGGAGTGTTAATTTGAGTAAAGACAGAAATTTTTGGAGTTATATATAAGTGTGTCATTTATTCATTTTGTTTTTGCTTCTTTATTGCTAAAAGTAAAAATTTTTCAATTAAAGGCTGCCATATCGACTTTTCAGCAAAATAGAGGAGAAGGAACATTAAAATCAAACCTGTTTTTTCTTTTTTAAACTTATATAGCAAAAAAATGGGAGACAGATGGAGCAAAGGAACGAAGAAGAGTGTCAATAATAAGTGCAATAAAAGAAGAAAATGAGATTTTTAAAGAACTCACAGACTAACGATTATTTAAAATTGAAAACTAAATTTAAGGTTTATTGTTTCCTCTAAAAAATCGACAAAGTGTATGAGAATTTGGTGAATAAATTTCTTTTTGCAGCCAAAAAAAAAAAAGACGATTCTTGTTACTGTGGTTCAGTCTGTTAGATTTGACTATTTTAGTAATACGATAAACTGTATCTTCTATACCATATAATTTGATAATTTTCATAAGGGATTTACTTGAATACAATAAGGAAAAAAACGAGGAAGATAACTGTTTTGTTTCTTAGCAAAAAAAAAAAAGAAATCAAAGGAATTGCACTAAATAACTCGAGTATCTATTTGCAGCGATTATTGGTGGCACAAATTCAGAACGCACACACAGCTTCAATTTTGATTATTCATACTGGTCTTATAATAAAGAGGATAGCCATTTTGCCAGTCAAAAGAAGGTCTATGAGGATCTTGGAGTAGAAATGCTCGATCACGCATTTGAAGGGTATCGACCATTTTGCTGAATACCTGACAACACATTCATCAGCAAAAAAAAAAAAAAAATTGTAATTTATATATTTGAAGGTACAATGTGTGTATAATTGCATATGGGCAAACGGGTAGTGGTAAAAGTTATACAATGATGGGAAAACCAAATGATGATAACGAGATGGGTATTATACCTCGATTATGCAAAAATCTTTTTCAACGAATTCACGAAAATGCAGATGTTAATGTAAAATATTCTGTTGAGGTTCGTCATTTATTTTTTTGCTGGCTTTAACACAACAGTAATGGCAATAATTACTTCAATTATTTCGAATATTTTTTTTTTTTTAAATGAAAACCCTAATAACATGTTCGTTATCAGTTCATTTTCTTTGCACAATCGATACAAACTATTCAAAGTTTTTGTATTTACCACAAAACCTTTTGAAAAATAACCAGAAATAACAAATCGGAAAAGTGGCAAAAACCAATAATTCTTAGGTATCCTACATGGAGATATATTGTGAACGGGTACGAGACTTGTTAAATCCGTCAAGTGGCGGAAACTTACGAGTTCGTGAACATCCGTTACTTGGCCCCTATGTGGATGATTTAACAAAATTGGCTGTATGCTCATACCAAGACATTAGTGACTTGATGGACGAAGGAAATAAGGCTAGGTAAACAGCTATACATATTCCTCTCCATCAACGCTGTAGATTTGACTTTAATAGCGGTGTTTATCCACTGTTTGCAAGGCGTGCATAACCAATCACTAAATTTACCATTGGTTTTTCATCTGTCGTTATTACAGAACTGTCGCTGCGACTAACATGAATTCAACTTCAAGCCGTTCTCATGCTGTATTCACCATCGTTTTAACTCAAAACCGTCATGATGTTGATACTAATTTAGACTGTCAAAAAGTTGGTCATAGTACTTACCATTAATATTTAAGTATTAAAGCGACTATGATTTTTATGAGAATAATAGCTTAAATCACTTTCGAAATCCCTTCAGCTTCACTTGATATCTGACACTTTAACAGTTAAAACAAGCTGCTACTTGCCCATTTGAAAAACACTTGTAATTTTGCATAGTTGCAATAATTAATAAAAACATTTTTAGGTTAGCAAAATTTCTTTAGTAGATTTGGCAGGAAGTGAACGAGCGACTTCAACAGGAGCTGAAGGTCAACGACTGAAAGAAGGGGCTAATATTAACAAAAGTTTGACTACTTTAGGATTGGTCATATCTAAACTGGCTGATGAGGTTACTTCTTTTGCACGCTACCCTCAATTAATTACTGTCAACATGATTTTATTAGTTTATAAGTTGTTCAGAAAAGGTTAGCCGTATAGTTCAGAATATAACTTTTCCGTGTTACATTGCCACCTTTGTAGCTGCTTTTTGAAAAATTTAAACAGCTTTCTTTCACAGGCTAGCAAGAAACGTAGTAAGGGTAGAATAGTTATTCCATATCGCGACTCTGTTCTTACCTGGCTTCTCAGAGAAAACCTTGGCGGCAACTCGAAAACGGCTATGATTGCTGCCCTATCCCCGGCCGATGTAAACTATGACGAAACTTTGAGCACCTTACGGTTCGTCTTGAAACCAAATTTTACCTCATTCCTAAAACCATAAGAATAATTTAACTTGTGTTTGTTTTTGCATTTAGATACGCCGATCGAGCAAAGCAGATAATGTGTCAAGCAAAAGTGAACGAAGATCCAAATGCGAAATTGATACGCGAACTCAAAAGCGAAGTCAATAAGTTGCGGAACCTCCTTCAAAGTAAAGGCATTGATATATCAGAAGTTGAAGACCCATCGAAGCAGAAAGCTCATTATTCAGCTCGTGATCACGACACTATAGAGCAGCTTAAAGGTACTATTTACTAACAAACTTATGAACGCTTTAAAAGTGAGAATAATGCAGTTTAATACTCACGGAACTGTTTGAAACAACTGAATTATTAAAAAAATTTTTAATTTGGTTAAAAAGATCACAGAAGGAAAAACATTTTGGTTTAAGGCACACACCAGGCGATTAAATTTTCAAATAAAGAGTTTTACTCATTTTTACAATTGTTTGTAAGATTTTGAAAGCTGTGGTGTTTCAGCTTCTGAGAAGTTGATTGCTGAATTAAATGAAACTTGGGAGGAGAAGCTGAAGAAGACAGAAGAAATACGCCGGCAAAGAGAGGAGGAACTTCGGGAAATGGGTCTGGCAACGAGCGAGGATGGAAGCACTTTAGGGGTGTTTTCTCCAAAGAAGGTTATTTTTTTACAGAAACCTATGCCTCAATTTGTAGGTTCACACATATTAGGTTGGTTGAAAATAAAATTTTTTAATTTGATTAACGGTAATAAAATTGAGGGCTCAATGACAAGTAATTTTAGTTGCCTCACTTGGTCAACTTAAACGAGGATCCTCTAATGTCTGAGTGTCTTCTTTACTATCTTAAGGAAGGCGTCACAAGGTAACAACTAATCTTTTTAATGGATTACATTTTTTAAGAATAATTTTTTCATATCAAACTTTTGCAGATGAAAGCACTCAAAAAAATTTTTTTTTCTAGGGTTGGACGGCCAGAGGCCACTGAAAGGCCTGATATATTATTAAGTGGGCAGCTGATATTGGACAAACATTGTGAATTTATCAATGAAGACGGCACCGTTAGCTTGATCCCACATCAGAACGCGCAGTGTTTTGTTAACGGCAAACCAGTCACCACCCGAACTGTTTTGCACACAGGATCTCGAGTCATTCTTGGCAAATACCATGTCTTTCGCTATAACGACCCACAAGAAGCACGACAAAGTCGGCACAATCTTGCGGCTGCGGCTAGTAAGACTGCTTAACACACTTATTTAGATGAGAAGATGGATGACTTATCAGAGAATTTGTTGTAACTAGTTGATTTTGTACATTCAGATGAACCGATTGACTGGAAATATGCTCAACAAGAACTCTTGGAAAAACAAGGAATTGATTTGAAAGCTGAAATGGAGAAGAAACTGTTGGAAATGGAGTCGCAGTACAGACGTGAGAAAGAGAAATTAGAATTAGAAATGCTCAAACAAACTAAGGTAGATGATGCTCATGTTGCTATACTAAAAAAAATAGGGCATAAAATAGTTGATTTTCTGTGGAAGCAATCAAAGAGGTGTATTTAAGGAATATGAAATGAGAATTGAAACCTTACAAAGACAAGTTGACTTAGCGCAAAGCATGGTATCTTCAACGTGTTCCACATGGGATGGTGAAAGATTCCTAACATCTAGCATGCTGGCCTTCGGTTATTTTTTTTACCGTTTAGTTATTTTTTCACCTAAAAAATCCTCGTTGAAGTGCACAAAGAGGAGTAACTATGTTTTTTCAGGGTTAGAACCAGAATGCAAATGGACTCCGGAGGAAGAGCGTATTGCTCGTCGAACTTTCACAAAATGGCGATACCATCAGTTTACTTCAGTTAGAGATGATCTTTGGGGTAACGCAATATTCCTAAAGGAAGCAAATGCTATTTCTATAGAACTGAAAAAGAAGGTTCGTAAACAACTTTTTTACTTCATAACTAGCTAAAAATCTTTGACTTTTCTCGACTGTAACGTTCCAGGTGCAATTCCAATTTGTATTGCTCACCGACACCATGTACAGTCCATTACCGCCCGACCTTTTACCACTAGGCGAAGATATAACCTTACGTCCTTATCCAAAAACAGCTGTTGCTGTTCAAGTTCAGGATCTTAAAAATGGAGCAACGCATTACTGGAGTATTGAAAAGCTGAGGTGAAGTCTGTTACAGTTTTTACAAATTACTGAAGTCGCACAAAAAATTGGTAATATTTTTTTTTATTCGCAAGTATTTTATTAAATGAAGCTTCTTTTTTGTTTTACCGTTAGCCAGACAATTATACAAGTACCAAAGTAGAAAAATACTGCATGCAGTGCTCTTATTTTGCTTTGCTTGATGAGGAAGGTCATTTTAGCACATGATTTGTGCCTGCTTGATTAACTTAACTAAACAACTCAAATGCTTCAATTTTGTCGGCATCTTAAATAAAAGAAACAAAAAAACCTTTTTTTTTTTAAAAAAATTTATCTTTTAGAAAATTAAGACGTATTCAGGAAACAAAATTTATCCATCTAAGAACTTTCCCCAGTAAGGAAAAAAGAATAATGCGAAGATGAATCAACGTTTTTGAGCAGTTAAAGTAAATCATGTGATTTTTCGGATGCGTGTGTGTGTGTGTGTGTATGAATTTGGATATATATGATGGTTCTTGAACGGAATCACAGTTGACTATGAAACCAAGTAGTTAGTTTACAGAAGAAGGCTCGAGGAGATGCGTTATCATTACAACGCTGATATAAGTGAAGCTTGCACCCCAGATAGTCCGCAGATGGAGCTACCGCAGAATTGGCTGAATACCGTCAATCATGCAACGCGTCTGATTCCTGACAGGTCCAAATATCGATGATCTTAAAACAAAAAAGAAAATGATAATATGCATGACATAACAACTTTTTTTTTGAATTTCTTCTTTAACAGTTGCTGACAACATCTTTTTCCTTCTCTCTAACCTAGGGACTTTTAACAGTAGTTTAATAGCTGTTTCTTGAAGCTTAAAAGAAACCTTCTGTTGATCACTATTTTCTATAAACTGATTTATAAGACTATTTGGCATGATATTTGATTAATAAACCACCGAAAACTTTCTATTCAATAATTTGTAACATCATTTGAGGGTGTAAAACTACAGAATAAATTCGGCTAACAGCTAAGTACTTGCGTCGTGATGCAGATCTTTAACTCGATTTTTTTGCTTAACCTTCTCTGCAATCGTCATTTTGAGCACGGTCGTTGACGTTGTTCAGCTACCACCTACAGTTTGATTGTTGATAACAACGAACTGTTTAGTGGAGACGGAATAACGTGATTGAACTTTAAGATGATAAACTTTTTTTATTCGTCAAAAGTGGAAACAATTTTCTGGCTGGGCCTGTCAGGTAATCAGTCTCAGTCTGCATTAGCCTGGCTTAGAATCTGTTAATCGCATGAAACAATTTAGTTTTTTTTCCTTTACCTTTTTAGTTATTGAATTATATGCAGTATCTTTCCGTGTGCAACTTGGGCTCTAATTTTTTTGCCGTAAACATTTCCCAGTATGCCAGTAATTTTGCTCAAATTGTTTTGTTCGGTTTTTAAATCTTCCTTTTTTTACATTGTGTGGCATTGTTGTTCCTCATGATTACTATTTCTTTTGCTTTTTTTAGTTGCAAGTTTAGAGGGCAAGTTTGCTTAGAATAGATATTCTTATAACTAGTAGATTTTTATTGTGGTAGTGACAGTCATTAATGAATTCCCGATTTTGAGAACCTTATTTTAAGTTGAAAAAAACTAAATTGAGGAGTGGTAAAAGTAGTTTTTAATGCAAACATGCTTATTCCTGCTACTATTTGTTTAACAATATAGTGAACAAATTTTTTAAAAACAGTTGCTAGTGAAATTAGAGGCGTCGCTA